AGTATCTGTTGATTACAGGCACCCGCCACCACCGGCTGGCTAATTTTTGTATTTTTAGTGGAGATGGGGTTTTACCATGTTGGCCAGGCTGGCCTGGATCTCTGACCTCAGGGATCTGCCACTCGGCCTCGCAAAGTGCTGGGATTACAGGCATGAGCTCCCACCACTGAGCCATCTTGCACCGACTTCTGCTAAGTTTTTGTGTGATTTTTTTTTTTTTTTTAGCAGAAAGAATTTTATATTATTATTATTATTTTTATTATTATGACTTTTAAGTTCTTAGGGTACCATGTGCATAACGGGTGCAGTTCTTTCGTTACAATGTATTTTTTACCTTTGTGCCATGTTGGTGTGGCGCGCCCATCAACTCATCAGCACCCATCAACTCGATCATTTACATGAGTTATAACCTTTTCCCAGTGGCAATCCCTCGCCCCCTCCCCCCTTCTCCCAATAATAGGCCGATGTGTGATGTTTCCCCTTCCTGAGTCCCAAGTGATCCTCATTGTTCCGTTCCCATCCTATGAGTGAGAACATGCAGTGTTTGGTTTCTCTGTTTCTTGCGATAGGGTTTGCTGAGAATTGATGGTTTCCAGTTGCATCCATGTCCCTACAAAGGATACAAACTTATCACTTTTTATGGCTGATTTAGTAATTCCATCCGTTGTTATAATGTGTCCAATTTTCTTAATCCAGTCTGTCCTGAATGGGACATTTGGGTTAATTCCAAGTCTTTGCTATTGTGCATAGTGCCGCAATGAACATACGCGTGCTCTGTCTCAAAAAAAAAAAAAAAAAAATTAAATTAAATTAAAATGGAGTGAATAGTACCTACTTGTCATAAGGATTAAACGTGATCATATATGAAAGAGCTTCCCAATAAGTGGCACAGAGCACCATACAGTCCATGCTGTTGGGCAGATGCCCCAAACGTTAGCAGGTTAAGCATACCAGGAGAAGGACCCTGTATGGCAGACACACCTGACAGTAATAACTTAAGCCTACCTGAGAATCACCCTATGATCTAAGAAGAATATGTGTTCAGAGTTCCAAGCTACGGAATCTGGCTTGGATTCATTCCAACCCAGAGATCCATTCCTTTATGCATGAGGAACATCTGAATCCCTGACCCATTTACGGAACCCAAGCCATACAGGGGATCGAGGGCCTTTGCTTTGGATTAAATAAAGGTTGCCAGGTGATGTCTGCTAGGGGCAGGGTGCGAAGTGGAAATGTTATATAAACTGTATGCTTTTTCCAAGCAGTTGAAGTTCTGTCCAGCCCACCACCACGGTACTGCCCTTTATGCAAGTCCCCTCAATAAACCCTGTGTCTCACTTGCTGGCTCTGGGTCTCTTCCCCAGACTAACATGGTGCCATCCCTGTTGAAGTCAACAGGTATGCAGCATGATACATGCTATCCTCATTAAACCCATACTGGTATCTTTCCAGTTAAAAGTATAGTTGGACTGAAAAGAGGTTTCCATGGAAAATCTAAAATATTCACTATAGGGCAGGCACAGTAGTTCTTGCCTGTAATCCCAGCACTCTGGGATGCAAGGCAGGCAGATCACCTGAGGTCAGCCTGACCAACATGGCAAAACCCCATCTCTAACAAAAACACAAAAAAATTAGCCAGGCATGGTGGCATATGCCTGCAGTCCCAGCTACTCGGGAGGCTGAAGTAGGAGAATCGCTTGAACCGGGGAGGCAGAGGTTGCAGTGAGCCCAGATCACGCCACTGCACTCCAGCCTGGGCAACAGAGTGAGACTCCGTGTCAAAATAATAAAATAAAATAAATAAAATATTCACTACAATAACACAAATAAGCAGTGACAAGGTGACTCCTTAGTTGAATACATAAGAGGAAACTCCTACCAGGTCAAGTGGTTCTCAGTCTTGGCTATACACTGGAATCACCTGGGGGGCTTCAAATAGTGATATCTGAGTCCTGCTCCCACAGACTCTGATTTAATTGGTCTAGGGTGCACCCAAGCACTGGGAATTTTAGAAACTCCCCAGATGATTCTCCTGTGCACCTGAGACTAAGAACCACAGCATGAGACCTAACCCATGGACAGGTGTTGTCAATATTAGGCTCTGATTATAAATTAGTTTGGCCAGGTAATTTCTTTCTTGATCCAAATAAGCCTACAGAAATTATTCCTAAGAAAGAAAATCTTCTTAGTATTTTTTATTTATTTATTTATTTATTTATTTATTTTTGACAGAAGATATTGCTCTGTTGCCCAGGTGGAACTACATGGCACAATCATAGCTCACTGTAACCTTGAACCTCTGGGCTCAAGCAATACTCCTGGCTTCAGCCTCTCAAGTAGCTGGGACTACAAGCACTCACTACCAAGCCTGGCTAATTTACCTATTTCTATTCATTCATTCGTTCATTCATTCATTCATTCCTTTATTGTGGAAACGGGGTCTCACCATGTTGCCCAAGCTGGGTGGTCTCCAACTCATGGGCTCAAGTAATCCTCCCATCTTGGCCTCCCAAAGTGCTGGGATTACAGGTATGAGCCACCACACCCAGCCTTCTGAGTAAATATTATCTATTAATTAGGATTTATCAGAGCCAATACCTCATCTAACATGCAAGTCACCTGGCACATAATGAGTGCTTAGAATATAGAGAAATCAAAAGATTATCAAGTTAGAATCATGCAAGGAACTTTTACACACCTCAGCAGTAGCAGATACAAACCAAGACCTGTCACACTGATTTTTTTTTTTTTTTTTTCAGGAAACTGAGCCACGACTTTCTAAAATCATGTTTCTTAGGAAAAAACGTCACTAGAGCCTGATTTGGTCATATTCCAGGAAAATTTTATATTTAATAGGTGTTTAGACTGCTATCAAGGTTGAAGAAACCATTTGTGGCCAAGCACGGTGGCTCATGCCTGTAATCCCAACACTTTGGCAGGCCAAGGGGGCGGATCACCTGAGGTCAGGAGTTCGAGACCAGCCTAGCCAACATGGTAAAACCCCACCTCTACTAAAAATACAAAACTTAGCCAGGTGTAGTAGTGCAGGCCTGTAGTTCCAGCTACTCAGGAGTCTGATGCAAGAGAATCGCTTGAACCAAAACGGAGGAGGTTGCAGTGAGCCAACATCATGCCACTGTACACCAGCCTAGGCGACAGAGTGAGACTCTGTCTCAAAATATATGTGTGTGTGTGTATGTGTGTGCAGAGACCAATAAGCAGGCTATTTTAAGTAATCCACAGAAAAGGCAGAGGGGTAGCAGTGAAGATATAGATAGCTGGTAGATTCAAAATATATTTAACACATTTGTAATACCTGCCCACTGGGAGGCCAAGGCAGGTGGACTGCTTGAGTTCCAGAGCTCAAGACCAGCCTGGGCAATATGGAGAAACCCTGTCTCTATCAAAAATGCAAAAAATTAGCCTGGTGTGGTGGCGCACAACTATAGTCCCAGCTATTTTGGGGGGTTGAAGCAGGGAGGATCACTTGAGCCCAGGAAGTCAAGGCTACAGTGATCCAAGATCGCACCACTGCACTCCAGCCGGGTAACAAAGCAAAAGCAAAGCCCTGCCTTTAAAAAAAAAAAAAAAAATATTTAAAAGGTAATATGGGATATGGTGGTTGGGCATGGCTCATTCCAACACTTTGGGAGACCAAGGTGGGAGGATCACTTGAGTCCAGGAGGTCAAGATCAGCCTCGGAAACATAGTAAAACCCCATCTCTACAAGTAATTCAAAAAATTAGCCAGGCTTGGTGGTGTGTGCCAGTCCCAGCTACTTGGGAGGCTGAGGTAGGAGGATCACTTTAGCCTGGGCAGTCAAGGCTGCAGTGAGCTGAGATTGTGCCACTACACTCTAGCCTGACAACAGTGAGACACCCTGTCTCAAAAACATAATAATAATAAAAATAGGCTGGGTGCGGAGGCTCATGCCTATAATGCCGGCACTTTGGGAAGCCGAGGCAGGTGGACCACCTGAGGTCAGGAGTTCAAGACCAACCTAGCCAACATGGCGAAATCCCATCTCTACTAAAAATACAAAAATTAGCCAGGCATGGCAGGCACCTATTATCCCAGCTACTCAGGAGGCTGAGGCAGGAGGATGGCTTGAACTCTGGGGGCGGAGGTTGCAGTGAGCCAAGATCGTCCCATTGCACTCCTGCCTGGGTGAAAGAGCGAAACTCCATCTCAAAATAAACAAATAAATAAAATAAATAAAAGGTGATGTGGTTTGGATCTGTGTCCCTGCCAAATCTCATGCTGAAATGTAACTCTCAAGTGTTGAAAGTGGGGCCTGGTGGCAGGTGTTTGGAACATGGGGGTAGATCCCTCATGATGGCTTAGCACTATCTCCTTGGCAATGAGTGAGCTCACACAAGATCTGGTTGTTTAAAATGTGTGGCACCTCACCTCCCATGGTTTTTGCTCCTGCTTTCACCATGTGACATGCCTGCTCCCACTTCAGCTTCTGCCAAGAGTAAAAGGTCCCTGAGGCCTCCCCAGATGCCGGTGCCATGCTTGTAGTGTCTGTAGAGTCATGAGCCAGTGAAACCTCTTTTCCTTTTTTTTTTTTTTAAGACTAAGTTTCACTCTTGTTGCCCAGGCTGGAGTGCAATGGCATGAATCTCTGCTCACTGCAACCTCTGCCTCCCAGGTTCAAGTGATTCTCCTGCCTCAGCCTCCCGAGTAGCTAGGATTACAGGTGCTCACCACCACACCCGGCTAATTTTTGTATATTTAGTAAAGACAGGGTTTCACCATGTTGACCAGGCTGGTCTTGAACTTCCGACCTCACGTGATCCATCTGCCTCAGCCTCCCAAAGTGCCAGGATTACAGGCATGAGCCACCGCACCTGGCCGAAACCTCTTTTCTTTATAAATTACCCAGGCTCAGGTATTTCTTCATAGCAACACAAGAATGGCCTAAGAGGCAAAATCAGCTTAGTGATGCACGTGGAACAATGAAATTAATCTGTAATCAGTCCTCTGACACTTTAGGACATTTTATCATTTTATCATTAGTAATCAAGCATCGCAATAAGTATGGAAGACCAAAGAGTCCACTTCCCACTGAGTTTCCTGGAAGTCTCTCCCCATGAAGCTGTTGGGGACATGACTCACTTATAGAGCAAGCTGGGGGCCCTCACAGTAGACCGGAATCCTTGTGGGGTCTGCTCCACCTCGTAGGCATCACAGGGCTCATCAGCACACTCCATGGAGCCTGCACAGAAACCATGACATCTCACTCAGAAACAATGTTGCTCTGTGGACAACAGCTTTTGCCTCAGCTGTCAACCGCTGTTGGCATTTAAAAAAAGCAATACACAGGCATAAAAAACAGCCAGACACTGTACATTCCATGACACTGCTCTGATACTCCTTCCGACCTATCTTATAAGAAATAAACCATAAAAAAACACATAATGACTATTTTAAATCTTTCAGTCTTGGAACCCTGGGAAGGTAGCACATGTATACAGTAGTTCCCCCTCATCTGTGGTTTCGCTTTCCAAGTTTTCAGTTACCTGCAGTTAACTGCTGTCTGAAACCATTACTACAATAAGATACTGGGCATGAGACAGAGAGACCACATTCACATCACCTTTATTACAATGTATTGTTATAACTGTTCTATTTTGTTAGTGATTGTTATTAATCTCTCCCTGTGCCTGATTAACAAACTAAACTTTACCAAAGGTTTCTATATACAGTTGGCCCTCCATATACAGGGATTCCCCATCAGTGGATTCAACCAACCACAGACTGAAAATATTTGAAAAAAAATCCAGCCTGGGCAACAAAGTAAAACCCCTCATCTCTACAAAGATTAGCTGGGCATGGTGGCACATGCTCGTAGTCCCCACTACTCAGGAAGATGATGTGGGAGAATCATTTGAGCCCAGGAGGTGACGCTGCAGTGAACCAAGGTCGTGCCACTGCACTCCAGAATGGGCTTGTCTCTTAAAAAAAAAAAAAAATTACTTGGAAAAAATAAAATAAAATAACAACACAGCAATAAAAATAAAACAAATTAAAAAACAATACAGGCTAGGCATGGTGGCTCATGCCTGTAATCCCAGCACTTTGGGAGGCCGAGGCAGGCGGATCACCCAAAGTCAGGAGTTTGAGACCAGGCTGGCCAACATGGTGAAACACCATCTCAACTGAAAATACAAAAATTAGCCACGTGTGGTGGCGGGCGCCTGTAGTCCCAGCTACTGGGGAGGCTGAGGCAGACCTGCTTGAACTCGGGAGGTGGAGGTTACAGAGAGCCCAGATCATGCCACTGCACTCCAGCCTGGGTGACAAGAGCAAAACTCTGTCTCGAAGAAGAAGAATAATAATAATAATAATAAACAATACAGTACAACTACTATTTACAGAGCATTTGCATTGTATTGTGTATCATATGTATTACAAGAGAGGATTTAAAGTAGGATGTGTGTAGGTTACATGCAAATACCACGATGTTCTACAAAAGGGACATGGGCATCTGAGGATTTTGGTAACATTACTGGGCAATGGACTAAATACATATGTTCATTTATTTCAAAAATTTATATATAATTACTTTAGGGCCAGGTGCGGTGGCTCACGTCTATAATCCCAGCACTTTGAGAGGCCGAGGCAGGTGGATCACTTGAGGTCAGGAGTTCAAGACCAGCCTGGCCAACATGGTGAAACCCTGTCTCTACTAAAAATACAAAAATTAGCTGGGCATCGTGGCACATGCCTGTAGTCCCAGCTACTTGGGAGGCTGAGGCACCAGAATCACTTGAACCTGGGAGGCAGAGATTGCAGTGAGTGGAGATTACATTACTGCATTCCAGCGTAAGTGACAGAGCGAGACTCCATCTCTAATAATAATAATAATTACAACTCCACAGACAAAGGAACTTAATTTTGTCATAGAATATTAATGGTTAATATTAATAACTAAAATTTATCCTTATGATATTTAAACCTCTGTACAAAGAAGAAACATAACTTATAAATTGCAACCAAAAATACTTCAGCTAAACTCAAACTCATCAGTACCCTTAGACATGAACAAAAACAGAGCTATATGAGGCCAAACATCTCAAATTTCAGTGCTGACACAGAAACACATTGAAACAAACAAAAAATTGATCCTACAATACACAGGACATTTTACTTCTTATCTGACCAATGAGCAACTAGGATTACCTTGATAGAAGTCCTCTTCATCTTCTTCATGTTGATAGGTCTGTTCTTGGACTGGATTCTTCCTGTAATTCCGGCCATCAATTCTTATAAGCTGTGGACGCAGAACTTCCATGACACTTTCTTCAAATAATATTCTGATGACGTCCTGAAAAATATAATTACCATCTTACCCTTCTTAGTGAGAATTAAACGTCCTATCTCTAGTATCTGAACCATTGTGTAGGTCTGAATTGGGCATCAGTTCACAGTATCTCCCACACAAAAGCAGCACTGTTTCCCATTGGATTTCCCATCTGTAAACCAGTTTAGGTTAACTGCTGTATTTTCTACCACACTGGCTCACTCTAGAGAGCAAAGTAATTTGTAAACTATTTATCACCCACCCCCCAAAAAAAAGGGATTAAAAGGCATATACTCTTTAAAAAAAAAAAAGAAAGAAAGAAAGGAAGGAAGGGAGAGAGGGAGGGAGGGGAGCAGTGGCTCACATCTGTAATCCTAGCACTTTGGGAGGCCAAGGTGAGAGGATTGGTTGAGTTTGGAGTTCAAGACCAGCCTTGTGAACATAGTGAGGCCTCGCCTCTAAGAAAAGAAAAAGAGGACCAGGTGCGGTGGCTCACACCTGTAATTCCAGCACTTTGGTAGGCCGAGGTGGGTGGATCACCAGGTCAGGAGTTCAAGACCAGCCTGACCAACAGGGTGAAACCCCGTTTCTACTACAAATACAAAAATTAGCTGGGCATGGTGGCACGCGCCTGTAATCCCAGGTACTCACGAGGGTGAGGCAGGAGAATCTCTTGAACCCGGGAGGCGGAGGTTGCAGTGAGCCGAGATCGAACCGCTGCACTCCAGCCTGGGCAACAGAGCGCAACTCTGTCTTAAAAAAAAAGAAAGAAAAAGAGAAAAGGGCCGGGCACGGTGGCTTACACCTGTACTCCCAGCACTTTGGGAGGCTGAGGAAGGAGGACTGCTTGAGCCCAAGAGATTGAAACCAGCCTGGGCAACATGGCGACACCCTGTTTCTCAAAAAAAAAGAGATTAAAAATAAAAGGCAGCCTTTGAAAGAGAGAATAAAGCTCTCTTTATTACTTTAACCTAATAAGTAAAATGCGAACTTCAGTGGTTATCTAACCATTTGCACAGTATCTTTTTTTTTTTTTTTTTTTGACACGGTGTCTCGCTCTTGTTCCCCAGGCTGGAATGCAATGACACAATCTCTGCTCACTGTAACCTCTGCCTCCCGGGTTCAAGTGATTCTCCTGCCTCAGCCTTCCAAGTTGCTGGAACTGCAGGCATCCGCCACCACCCCCGGCTAATTTTTTGTTATTTTTAGTAGAGACTGGGTTTCGTCATTTTGGCCAGGCTGGTCTGGAACTCCTGGCCTCAGGTGATCCACCAGCCTCAGCCTCCCAAAGTGCTGGGATTACAGGAGTAAGCCACTGCGCCCAGCAAACTCTATCTAGCAAGAGAAAGACAATGAGGGATATTTAATACACTTAACCATCCAGAAAAAAAAAAGCCTGTAAGTACTTTCAGAGGTGCTAGAAATTCACACAAAACAATCAGTTCCAGTTGCCTGTCAAAGCAGTAAATTAATAACAACTTAACCAATATGGTTCTCAGACCAATATACTGCTGAGGGGAGGAATCCAGTTTCTACAGGCCACTGCCCAACAAAATGCACATCACTCACTGAGAAGCCAAGCTTCTGGTCACACCACTTAATGGATCCAATAATTTAGGAAACAAAGGTTCCTTATAGGCGAGCTGAAGTTAAATTCAGCCAGTATTCCTACCACGTACAGCTTAGTCTTGAAGCCCAAAATACTGAAGAGTTCCAAAGAAAACAAGTTGATCCTTACTAAATACACTAACGCTCAAGCCAACGTGGACGCGGTGGCTCACGTCTGTAATCCCAGCACTTTGGGAGGCCGAGGTGGGTGGATCATCTGAGGTCAGGAGTTCAACACCAGCCTGGCCAAGATGGTGAAACCCGTCTCTACTGAAAATACAAAAAGTAGCCGGGCTTGGTGGCGGGCGCCTGTAATCCCAGCTACTCGGAAGGCTGATGTGGCACGAGAATCGCTTAAGCCTGAGAGGCGGAGGTTGCAGTGAGCTGAGATCGCGCCACTGCACTCCAGCCTGGGTGACAGAGCGAGACTTCGTCTCAAAAAAATAAATAAAATAAAATAATAATTGATTATTTGTGTGCTTACAGAACCAAGAAGAGGTTTTGTGAGAAATAACAACATAGAAGGTAAACCGACATGGATAGAGGAAAAGAGCACATCATTAGCAATAGTCGATGACATCACAACCCAGTGGTCTATTCCCTGAGGCCTCTAAAGTTCTCAATGAAAAAACACTTTCAAGGCGAAAGCTAAAAAAAAAAAAAGTTCCCCACAAAAGCAGACTAAGGTGAAAGTCGGGCCCTCAGAACAAGAGCTCCGGAAAAACAGGTAGTCGTCGCGGAGACAGCAAACGCAGCATCTACCTGTCCTACATGGCCCTGCGCTACAAGACTGCTCGGAAGGAAAGGCAGGAATAACCAACTTAACCCTGCTTCGAGGTGGTTTGGAGAGGAAGAGGAAAGCCGAGTCTTTCTGCAATATCGTGAGGGAAGCCGAGACCCCGAATCATCAAAGAGAAGGGGCAGAAGAGGACTAGGCGGCTGCAGGTAAACCAAGGTAGGGCGAGGAGTTTGCAAAGGATCCGGAATTCCTCTCCACGAGCGCGTTCTCGGCTCCCCTCCTAGCGTCTCCGCCCCGGCCACGCCCACCACGGCACGGGCGCGCGCACGCCGCCTTCGCCGCGGGCCCCTCCGTGGAGGCGCGAGCACGCCGCCGTCCTCGTCGTGGTGAGCGTGACCGCTCTGGCTGGTCCTGGGGGCGGGGCTGTAGGGGAAAGTGCTAAAGCCGCTGAGGTAAGAGGCGGAGGGCTGAAGGGCCCTCGGGAGCTTGGTGAAAAGGGAGTTAACCCCTAGGATCCTACCTGCAGGGACTAGAAAAATGGAGAAGGTAGGAGCAGAAACAGGAGACTGCTGTAGCAGACGTGCGACAGGAAATTTTCCCAGGCCGGGTTTGACTGAGTGCGCATGCGGGCCAAGGGGTGGCGCCTGCGCAGTGGGACAGCGCCGATGGCGTCGTTTCCTGTGGACCCAGCTGGGTGGGAAATGTGGCTAGGAGTTAGCTTGGGAGCCGCTGGTGTTCTGACCGCTCCCCTCTCTGGCCACTCTCTCTCCACGCCCACCCCACCCCCGGTTACAGCTGCGGCGTCTGTTTGGTTTGGGTTGTAATCCAGCTGTTTTGAAGTGGAACGATTTTTTGATGATGGAATTTAATGATTGCTTGTAATGATTTGCCTTTGTACTAGGGTAGGAACTTTTAAGGAATTACTCTTTTTAAGAAAATAGGCATATGTCTGTTAGAAAGGAAAGGAATTTATATTCGTAAAACTATGAAGGCCGGGCGCGGTGGCCCACGCCTGTAATCCCAGCACTTTGGGAGGCCGAGGCTGGCGGATCACGAGGTCAGGAGATCGAGGCCATACTGGCTAACACGGGGTTTCACCGTGTTAAATACAAAACAAAATTAGCTGGGCGTGGTGGCGTGCGCCTGTAGTCCCAGCTACTGGGGAGGCTGAGGCAGGAGAATGGCGTGAACCCGGGAGGCGGAGCTTGCAGTGAGCTGAGATTGTGCCACTGCATTCTGGCCTGGGCGACAGAGGGAGACTCCGTCTCAAAAAAAAAAACTGAATGCGAGGTCATCCCTGCCGTACATGAAGTAATGTTTAAGCATCTTAGCTCCGACACAGCAATCTGTCCACAAAGCATCGTTACTCTCCTGTGAGGATCTCCACTGTCAGCCCCAACTTCCCCTGACAGGGCCAAATCCCAGGATACTTCATCAGTATTTGTTCAACAGAACATTACTGAGCACCTCCGGTGGGCCTCGCAGACTAGTTGAAAATAGAGTTGTGCGAATAGATCTGCACAATGAGAAAAAAATCCGTAATGAACCAATACTGATGACACCACGCTTCTCTATCTCCTGCATAACCTTTGCTTGAGCCCTGAGTTCTGTTATTTGTTCTTCATTCATTCATCCGAAATGCTCAGGAAGCACTGTGGAAACACTGTGACCCAGGTTCTGTGCTCGGCATTGAGGGTAGAAAGACTTCGAAGGTGGCAGGATGTTTCTTAAGATCATGAACCTTAAAATGAAAGTGTAGGCCGGGCGCAGTGGCTCACACCTGTAATCCCAGCACTTTGGGAGGCCGAGGCGGGCCGGATCACGAGGTCGGGAGATCAAGATTATCCTGGCTAACATGGTGAAACCCCGTTTCTACTAAAAACAATACAAAAAATTAGCCGGGAGTGGTGGCGGGCGCCTGTAGTCCCAGCAACTCGGGAGGCTGAGACGGGAGAATGGCGTGAACCCGGGAAGCAGAGCTTCCAGTGAGCCGAGATCGCACCACTGCACTCCAGCCTGGAGTGCTTAATAGAAGCAGTTAATAGAGCAAGACTCCGTCTCAAAAAAAATAAATAAATAAAAATAAAAGTGTAAAGTGCTTAATAGAAGGTATTGGCCCTCCTCCTGAGCAGATTCTTTCCCCTCTGGGAGCTTGCTAACTCTGTTAGATGGAGAGAATTAAGACTTTTTCCATGAGGTTTTTTCATAGTAAGTATGAAAAACTGGGATCTGCATAAGAAAAACACTCAGGAGTAACTCTCCGTTAATGATTTTGAACAGCCAAGATTTATGAAGTGCTTACTAAGCCTGTAACCGTTCCAAGTGTTTTACGTGTATTAATTAATCTTTGTCACACCTATGTGAGGTAGGTGATGTTATTACAGGTTGAGTATCCTTAATCTAGAAATCCAAAATCCTCCAAAATTTAAAACTTTTGAGCACTGACGAGATGGTCAAAGGAAGTGCTTTTTGGAGCATTTTGAATTTTAGATTTTCGGATTTGGGAGGCTTAATCGTTACGTATAATGCAAATATCCCAAAACCTGGGAAAAAATCCGAAATCCAAAATACCTCCAGTTCCAAGCATTTGGGATGAAGGGTACTCAACCTGTTTCCCGTTTTGCAGATAAGACAACCAAGGAACAAAAAGATCCCGGAGTGGGAGGCGGACGCGGAGGTTGCGGTGAGCCAAGATAGTGCTGTTGCACTCCAGCCTGGGCAACAAGAGCGAAACTCCATCTCAAAAAAAAAAAAAAAAAAAAAACAGAAGTTGCAATTTTTTACATTTTTGCCATCAGACCTTGGCAATGACCTTGAGCAGTACGATATAAATAACTCCCACATGCTTAGCGTTCCAATAATGGAACACTAGGTATAAATGGGTGAAATGATTTGTCCACAGTCTTGCAGCAAGTAAGTAGCAAAACCCGAACTCAGAGAGGCTTCATAATCTTACCCACTATGCTGCTTTACCTTGCACATGACAAATGACATGCCAACAAGCCATTGCTTCAGAATGTCACAGCAGATAAGCTAAAATTGTCTCTACACCTCAGTTTTATTTTTTCATGTATAAAATGAGGAAGTTGGGTTAGATGACTTTTAAGGAATCTGTGGTTTCTGTGAAATATTTAATTCACTCAGCAAACATTTACTGAAATGAACACCTACTTCCTTACCATAGACCAGGTGTTATGTTTGGTTCTGGTGATCAGTTAATGCCTGCCCTGAGAGCAGTTACAACCTAGAGTTTATTAGTTTTGCTTTACTCTCATTTACCACTTGCTGGTAGCGTTCAAAATTTAACTGAAATCTTTAGAGCTAGAAATTATTTAGGTTTATCCTTCCACCTCAGCAGAAAACTGCTTATTTAAAGTTAGCTTTGTGCTGATTCTGTGCTCCAGTTTTTAACTCTGGCTGTTTTGTGTATGGAACGATAGAAGTTCTGAGAGTTTGAAAGAAAACAGGATGAAAGGGAATTCCTTTGATTATATTCAGCTTAGAAGTCACACTGTGGCTACCTTTAGAAACTGTCCTCACTCTGGCAGTTGCTTGGGTGCTCTGCTGAGCACCTGACTTCAAAATATAAAGTATAAAGCATTTGCAACTGAATAGAGCATTTATCAGGGTGTAGGAAAAATAGAGTTTTAAATCTTAGGTGAGATATATAAACAGTTCACCGTGGGTGCTACTCTGAACTGATGGGAAATAAAGACTGAGCTACTCTCCAAAAGGTGGCTAAGTTGTCTGTATACTTTATTTGAATCTCACCAGGTATTCACTTAGAGATTTGGTCCTGATCCCTTACTGCTTAAATTCAAAAACAATTCAAAAACTTGTCAGGCTATATTTTGACCCAGTGTATTCTGGAAGATTGGATATTAATCTAACTCCAAAAGTTGTTGCCTCTGTGGATATGAGTACAATTTGAAAAGTTATCAGAGCTCAGAGAAAAAAGGAAGAGTGAGGCCGGGCGTCCTGACCTCGTGATCACCCCCATCGGCCTCCGCAAAAGTCGGCGGGATTACAGGCTTGAGCCA